GCGGCAGCACTTTACCGTTGGCGGCGGTTGGCGGCCGTTGGACGGCGCAGCAGTTGGCGGCAGTTGGCCGTTAGGCGGCGGCGGCGGGAGGGAGGGATTTAAAGGGCCAGCGCAAGGAGGCCGCCCGCCAGCAGCGCGGCCGCCTTTGCGCGGGGCGGGAGGCCGTTAGCCTTCCAGGGCAGTTCTTACAGCTCGCATAGATACTTTAAAATGCAGAGAATTTTACTACATCCTATTTCTTCAGGGAAATGTGCATAATTTCCCTTCTTTTTATTTTTATTTATTTTTTATTTAATTAATTTATTTATTTTTACACTGCAGAAGCAGTGCGGAGCTGCTCCTAGAACTGAAATGAAGTGTAAATCAAGCACAGTGCAATCACAATGCACTCGTGTTACCTCTAGGTGCAAAGTACGAATTAGCAAGGAAATGAGCAATTACTGTCAAACGTGGGTGACACCGTGGCTTCTGGCCTTATTCTGCCTCTCATAATGTGTTACTGCTTTGCTTTGCATTTTTTTTTCCATCGCTCTTTTCCACCTCCAACCATAATTAAGACTCGCTTTCCATTCCAAATAATGAAATTTTTGCAATTAAGACAGTATGGAGACAAAAATTATCACCTGGCCATGAGCTTTTAAACACTGGATAGGGCCCCAGAACTCTTAACATTAAACACTATCGCATTAACCTTTCTGAGGCAGATCTGAGAATATGTGACAACACGCAGTACTAAGTGTGAGGTTTCGTGTTACAATATTTTTTTTTCCCAGACGGAGACTTTTAGTTCAAGTTTGAGATGTAGTTTTCAAGTAACTATTTGATAATGTAACGACCCGTCAGTGATTCTTACTGTTGGTATTTATTCATTTTCTGAACACATGTTTTTGTTAAATTTCTTTGAAAAATGTAGGAGGAGACATTTTTCCCACAGATAAAGCGTTTTTTCTTTTTGGTACTTTTTGGTGCTGTGTTTCCCCTTTCTAACGGCAAAATGGAAATATGTGAAAAGCGAGGAAAGGGAGAAAATGAGCTATTTCTGTGGATGTCACGGAGAGTGCTGATAACAGCAGTGGATAGACGAACACAGCACCCATGTTCATGGAAGTGATGGTCCGCGTTGCCTGCAGGAAGGCAGCACCCGACTCCTTGACGTCGAGCAGGCCGTCGTGCGGCTGTGATCCGGGGGAGGGAAATTTCCTGCTACATTCCAGCCCCACACGAGATGGCACTACTGCACTCGCAGGCCGTAGTTTGTTCCTAGCAGCTTAGCTTGGCCGCACTCGGAACGATTGTACTGATCAGCTGTTCGATGGTATACCTAATGGAGCGTCATTCACCTTCAAAGCAGGTTAGCAGAAATATCCTCCAGCCGCCCCAGCCTATGCAGTCAAGTCTTTTGGCCTGTCTAGATTTTTTTTTCCAAATGCTGAGCAGAATGATACCCTAGACTGCAGTAGGTGGCCGTCTTGCAAAGGTTGATATCCGCAGGGGTGTAATGGTTTGAGCTGGATGACTTCCTTGAATAAAGCTGTAGGGATTGCTGCTGTTGCAAAATTCCCCCATCAAATCGTAAGGTGTATTGCACTAATGCAGAATTGGCAGTCATTTACCAGGTAGTAATGTCTCCTTCATTCTTGTCATCTTTTAAAAAGCATTTAAATGATAATTATATATTTGCTCACTAAAGAGTTTGTCCCAAAATGAAATGTTAGAAATACTGCATTTGATGCTTAATTGAAAATAAAACCCTTAATGTCAGTGAGGCGGATTTGTTACCTGGCTCAAATTACACATTAGGGGTAGGTGTAACTAGGAAATGATTATAACTTGTGCCAATGTGGGTGCCTATTGCTATAAAATGCAATATTTACAGGACAAGAAAGAAAAGGGAACATGGTTAGAAAATCAAGTAGAAGAAATATGGGAAAGAAAGTAAGCATTCTTGCTGTTATCTTTCTATGTAGTGCACACGGTTGAATCAGTTTTACGAATTTTACCGTAATGATTTGGGTATAAAGTCCAAATCATTATCCATTTTTGCTTCATAACACCAAACGAAGAAGGAAGTAGGTCATGCTAGAATTCCCCCAGAGATATTCTTTTGAAAAAGTGTGTGTATCTGTATCAGTCTGCCTAATCAATTGACTTTTCAATATACATCTAAATGAAAAGGATTACAAAATCCTTTTTATTACTAAATTAAATTCAAAAATATGTCTTATCATTTTCCAAAATGCTCAGCAAATGGACAGCAAATGCTCATTTAGTCATTTATAACTTTCAAGCTCCTGGATCAAAAACAGATAAATAACTTTAAAGAGAGAAAAATTAATGCTCTAAAATCATAGCCTTTATGAGGCTGATCTTCCCATAGCGAATTAAGATGAGCCTCTTCCTTAACTAGAAGCCTGCTTGCTGAAAACATGCATGATTGCAGGATTTTTTAATCCTATGCTAATTAGCTTTTTTTTTTTTTTTTGGTTCTTTATTACTAATTTTGTTCAGGAAAGAAAATCCAGCTTTAAATATTTCTTATGTTAAGGACAAAACAATTGTTAGAACGCTTGAAGATTTTTTTAAATTCTGTTAATATTTTACTTTTGAGAAAAGGAAGTAAATGATAGATACAACGAGGTGTGAAAATGCAAGCATGTACTTAGAGTGAATATAAACATGAATAGCTTTGACTCTGCATTTTTGTTTGCAGTAAGGGGAGTTCCAGTGTTACATAACCTCTTAGTAAACCACACAACTCACAAGAGTGAGTTTAATAAAACAATATCTAGCTTCCTCCTCATGCTGGGAATATTATAACAATCTAGTGTTCTTACGGGAAAGACATCTGCTCCTTCAGACTCTAGAAATGCTCTTGTGTCTGGTTTGCAGTTTTATTTTTAATGTATCGTATCTAACTGAATAGTTAAATTTGCCCTTTACATGTATCATATTTGTTAACTAAATAATGTAGATCTCATTAAATTACTGCCTGAATTACTCATTCATGGCCTACACGAGTTGTCACCATCAGCATGCCTTTCTCCTCAACTGCATGGACAAACTTGGACAGATCAAATTCCTACCCATCAAATTCCTAATTTTTTAAATCAAAATCCTGTTTTCAGTGTTAATTTAGATGCCCACATCTACAATTAGACATGTCCCTCTCTGCATAACACAGTACAGAGCAGGTTCTCTTTTCTGTGACTTTGAAGTTATTTCCTATAGGAATATGCAGATGTATCAGGCTTGGCTGGGGTAATGATTGCCCAGTTCGTCATTTTTCTGTTTGGAAAAAGATATACTGTACATGCTTACCAGCATGCTTATCTGCACCTATAGATTTTTTTTTTCCCTTTTTTTGTTGAATTTGAAATATGATTGTCAGAAAACTTCTTTTTTTTTTCATTTAAGAAAATGAAGAACAGAGAAGTGTTTCACATTTCCTTCTTTATTTATACTGTCCTTCTCATGCCACCATAATTTGTGACTCTGACAGGGCTCATCAAATGTTTGATCCTTCAGAGAGGTTCCCTAAGCTTTCATTTCTCTTCTGGACCGGGAACAGAGAATTCCCTGGACTCTAGGCTGGAGTTTGGATTCTCATTAGTACATTTCCTAGTCATACTGTGAGCGGGCTCTCCATCTCCTCTCTACTGATGCATAATTCATTGTAACTGTACTGTGGGAGAGCTGCTCCACTTTTCTCAGGGTGAGGTTCCGGTGTAGACCTTCTCTGGAATGGCTCCTGGTCTGAAGACAGCATGCCATCCAGGAAAGAAGCAAGAGTGAGGGTAACAAACACTTAGGAATACCCTGACCTGAATAAGCAAGAAGGAAAATCAAGGTGGGAATAATACTCTCTGGAGTATGTGGGCCATATCCCTGCATGCTTCCTGGTCATATCCACCGAAAAAAAAAGGTGTTACCTGCTTGGATTAGTTGAGTGTTCCAGTTCATAGAAGATGACTGATTTAGCATCTCTGCATAGTCCAAGGATGTATCACCCTGCGGGTTTCCCAGTCACGTCTGAGGATGTGAGTCTGTTGTAAAGTCATGGCATTAGAAGAAATCACAGCTCTTTCCTGGAAAGCTTAGATGATGATCACTAACAGTCTTTCACATTTCAAAAGCAAATCCAGTTTCAAGAGGAATTAGACTAGCTCTTAATGACGTCCTACTGAAGTCAGAAAAGTTGGCACAACTTTTGAATTATGCTGTTTAATTTATGATAGTTTTCTGAAGACTGAAGTGTTCAAAGGAAATCTCTTTGACAAGATTTATTGCCTTATTGTGACAAAGATGGCTATTTTGATTCTATACTGATATTTTGAAGGATAATTGTATCTGCAGATTTTTAAGATTCAGCAGTGTTTCCCATAATTTGACTGTTCAATCCTGACTTGCATTTTTTGGTTATTGGTGTCTGTTTGGATTATTATTAGGAAGTCTTTAGGGGTAATTCTCCTTTTCTCTGTGGTCATAGACACTGGTATCAGTGTTCCCTGTGGGCGTCAGAAAGATTTCTCGAGAACTGGACATGCTGTGAGGCATATCTTAGTAAATAAGAGCTGACTGCATGCTCAGACCTTGTAATGTCAAAGACAGTGTTGTCAGGTGTTAGCCTAAATAATTTTCTGTTTGAGCTGTAGTCTTTAATTATCACCCACAAAAATGATTTCATGCATGTAACACTGCATATAAAAACCAAATACCAAATATCACTACATATATTAGGATGTTCCTCCAGCTTTTTCTTACTTGGCTTAACTGTGACAGCAATTTCTGTAACACATCAACGTGTATGGCTAATTTGCTTTACTGTTGATACCTTTGTATGGTACTGCCATGATTTTATGACTAACATGATGTAGTGTAGAGAAATGCCTGCCTGATACAATAGGAGAGGAGGCCTTGGGAAGTGGAGACGCATGATGCAGTGTGCA